AGTTGTCCTCTTCAAACTTACCCTTTGGGGAAGTCCTCTTTTTCCTCCTGCTCGGGACTCCTGGTCTTGGATTCTGGCCTAAGAGAGATCAGGAAAATCCGGTGGCTAATGTCCACTGGGCGCCATAACTGAACAGCTGGAAGCCTCGGGAGGCTGGAGCCTGATTGGCACGGGCTGGCGGCAGCTAAGTACAATGGTCACTCGTGTAAACTAAAAGGGGAACCAGGAAGGGCCAAGTACTTTCTTGTACCCCCTCCCCCTCCCCCAGATCACCTTATTCCATCTCTATGCTCTATGGGGTTCAATGTCTAGGGACAGTCACCTGTGGCATGGCTGGAGCTACCCAGTTACACACCTCCCTTCTTTTCACGTGACCTATGCAACCTAACACAACTGGGCTGGTCAGGAGCTGCCAGAAAGTCTTCTCGGGGGCACCTGAAGGCCCAGTGGGCAGGGAGCCCCGTGATGGAGCTTTGGTGAGCAGGAAACACCAACACATCCTGCTGAGATTCCTCAGGGGGCTGTTTCTTTGTCCAACACCACCATGCCCTGTCTTGGGGAGGGGAGGGGAGGATAGGGTGCAGCGGCCAGTGTTTAATGAATTCAATGGAACAATCTTGCCCTCGCCCTCGCCCTCTCCTCCTGCGGCCTGATGACATTCTTTCACAACTCCCTAGCACTTCTGGAGAAATCCAGGTGAGGCGGAAGGAAGAGAGAGGAGATGGAATTCCACCATCTAATGCAGGTCCCTTTTAAAGCGATTCTATGAAAAGAAGTGTCACAGAGGAGAGCTACGTTTCGGTGACCGTGAGGTCTGATGAGCAGCCACCAGTCCAGGATCCTAGGGGGTCTCATTGCCGGCCTGCACACAGCCACAAGTCGGCGTGGATAATCACCGTGAGTTGGCGGTGTGCGTCTGCAATCCCAGCCCCTAGACCAGTGGCTCTCAACCTTCCTAATGCCATGACCCTTTTGTTTTTCCTTTGAATGATTGCTTTTTTTTTTTATCGTTTTATTAGGGGCTCATACAACTCTTACCACAATCCATACATACATCAATTGTGTCAAGCACATTTGTATGTGTTGCCATCATTCTCAAAACACCTGCTTTCTACTTGAGCCCTTGGTATCAGCTCCTTTTTGTCCTCTCCCTCCCCGCCTCTCCCTTCCCCCGAACCCTTGATAAGTTCATGTTGTGGTGATCCCCCCAACCATAAAATTATTTTCGTTGCTACTTCATAACTGTAATTTTGCTACTGTTATGAATTGGGCGACCCCTGTGAAAGGGTCATTAGACACCCCCCCAAGGGGGTCGCGACCCACAGGTTGAGAACCACTGCCCTAGGGGCTCTGTCCTCTTCTTATGTGGTCTCTGAAGACTTGCTGCATCTGCGAGAGCAGAACTGTCCTCATCTGGTCCTGAGAAATTGTCCCTGGTGTGAGACACGCCGTGAGGAAACCACACGACCTACCTTGACGAATCCTCTCGTGACAAGAGGCCATTTGGATGTTCTTAAGATCATTCGAGGGCCATCCAGGTCCAACGTTGAACTAACTCGTGCTTCATGTGATGGCTGGAACTGCTTCTCTCCGGTGAGGCACGTGAGGTTAGCTTATCTTGATGATGTCATGGCCTCATCCAGTCTCGGGACAGAGCTTCCCCAGCCCTGCAAGAGGGACACTGGTTCTCTGCCCACACAATTCCAGCAGAGAGACGGTTTCATTTGGTTGCTTCCGTTTAAGAAAAGAAATCTTCCCCCGCATTACCCAGGGGATAGATTCCTCAAGAAGGCATTCTAAGTCACTTTCTCAAAGAACGCCGTGGCATGAAGATTTGAGGCGGGCTTATTTACAGCCGGCAATATGCAGACACAACCTTGCTAGCTGCAAGTGTGGCTGACTCAAAGCACTTGCTGATGAAGTTCAAGGACTATCGCCTTCAGTATAAATCGGAATCAAGGTAAAGAAAACCAAAATCCTCACACCTGGATCAATAGGTAACAGCATGATAAACTGAAAGAAGATTGAAGTTACCAAGGATTTCATTTTGCTTGGATCCACAATCAGTGCTCATGGAAGCAGCCGTCAGGAAACCAAAAGACAGACTGCATTGGGCAAATCTGCTGCACAAGACTTCTTTGAAGGGTTGACAAGGAGGGATGTCACTTTGAGGGCTCAGGTGAGCCTGACCCCAGCCACGACATGTCCCATCGCCTCACGTGCATAGAAAAGTTGGACATTGAATCAGGAAGCCTGCAGAAGAATCAATGCCCTTGCAGTCTGGTGCCAATGACGAATGTTCAAAGTACCACGACTGGGAGGACCAACAGGGTGCTCCTTAGAAGGAAAGATGGTGAGACTCCATCTCAGACACTTTGGAAAAGGTGTCAGGAGAGACCAGGCCCTATAGAAGGACACCCTGGTTGGGAAAATAAAGGGTCAGCGAAAAAGAGAAGCCTCATGGAGAGGGACTGACACAGGGGCCACGCAACAGGCTCAGAACTGGGCAATGTTTCCTTCTGTTGTGCAGATGTGGGAACTGACCTGACAGCCCCTCCCAATGACGTTCTGAAAAATAAAAGGGTGAGAAGCTGCTAGGGCTGGGTGTTAACACCAGGACCACCACCCCCTCCCCCACCAGGTTCTAGACTGGTGGACAGCGCAGGAAACACCATGCTCCTGTGGCGACGAAGGCCCATAATGGACGTCCCACAGTGCCAGCAGAGTCTCGAGGGTCAGACAGCTACAAGCACAAGTGTCGTCAGGCTGGACGAGGCTTCTCAGAGAGCGGACCATTAAGCCGTGGGCCATGGTCAGGCCTAGTGAAAAAGACAGACGAGTCCTCATTTCTGACCCAGGGCTGCACACTGCCCAGGCTGTACGACTTCCCCAGGTGCTTTGAATACCTATTCAAGTCTGCTCCGAGCGGAGCTGGGGGAGAAAGCCAGCCGGGAGAAGCAGGCTGGGTATGATGGGGCAGCAACACAGCTCAGCTGGGAGCCCTGCCTCTGGCGGGCAAGCCTGTAATGCCCATGACCCCGTGTGCCGAGCGAGGCAAGTCAAACAATACGCACCCCGCGTGGCGGCAGAGTAGGAGGGAAGGGCGTGTCTTAGGTGGGCGTCTTCCTAGAAAACGACGGATAAAGTGTGAGCCAAATAAGACAAGAGGGTTTTTAGAAGCCTGTCTTCTAACAGTCCCCATGTGAAAAGGGCACACCGATCTGTCTTGAAAGATGCACGGCCAGAGTGCTCCTTAGAGGCCAGGGTGGAGAGACTTCGTCTGACAGACTGGGCTCGTGGTCAGGAGAGACCAGTTCCTGGGGAAGGACATCCTGCTTGGTCCAGCGGAGGCGCAGTGAAAAAGAGGAAGGCCCTCAAGAAGACGGACTGACCCAGGGGCTGCCACGACGGGCTCAGGCCCAGGACCAGGTGTGAGGCTGGCTCGGGACCGAGCAGGGTTTCGTCCTGTTGCGCAGAGGGTTGCTGTGGGCTGGGGCCGACCGATGTCCCGGAACAACAAACACCACTCCCAAGGGGAGGAAGTCGCTTGACCCGCAGGAGAGACTCCAACCAACTGAGAGCTGAATAAGACAACAGGTGATTCGGGAAAGAAGCTGAACAAGAGTTCGGGGCAGGTGGTTAATCGGGAGGGGAGGAACTCCAGAGCGGGGAACGCGAGCTCCTCCGTAGCTGTGGGCAGAAAGAAGGGGCTACTGTGAGCCTCAAAGGCCTGGCAAGCTTGAGAGGCCACAGCCCAGCCCCGGGAGAGCTGCAGCAGCCTGTCCCACGGGCAGGGCCCGGGGCTCTGGAAGCTCCCTCCAGAGACCGGCCCTCCCAGCACCAGGGAGCAACCAGCCACTCGAGCTCTATGCAAGCTCATCAGAGGTCACGCTGTCATCTGCAGGGGAATCCAGGAGAGGAGGCAGCTCCGAATAGTGACGCACGCGGTTCTGTAGGCCCATGGGCTCTTCTTCATCCTTCGGGGCAAGCTGGCCGGGGCCAGCTAGACTGCCAAGTGTCAAGGCTGCCCAGCAGCTGCTTGCCAGCCACAAGGAGATGCAGGCATTCAGTGAAAGGCTTAGATGCTAATCGACATGGGACTTCGGGGCGTTGGGCGACAAACAAGTCGACCAGGTCCATTTCCCCGCACGCACATTGGCTACAGGACCACCTCCCGGGGCTTCCCAGGGTGACCAACACAGCCGCCATCACTTACAAGTGGACTCTGCGGCCTTGTACTCTGCTCCGGGGACAGGCAGGCCGCAGGGAGCTGACAAGCATGACTGAGAAATGTTCTTTGGAATCACCTAGGCATACCGTTCGTTAGGCGGGGCAAAACCGGAACTAAACTTTCCTCCTGCAGTGGGCTAAGAGCCTCAGCACTTTGCGTCACTTTTACACTGGCCCCAGCTGTGTTTCCATTTCCAAATTCCAATCAGAAGAGTCTGCCCTCTATGCCCTTTCAAAGACCAGCGTAGCAGCAGGCAGCCTCACCTGGTCAGCTGAATGTACACCCCACCCTTTGTGACGTGGGCAGGCAGAAAGCGCAGTGCAGTCCCCTGCAGTCCCCTTCAGCAGTCTCCTGAAGACAACCGAAAGGAGTCTGACCATGTCTCTGTCATAGGGCAGCTACTGCCCCAGGTTGACCCCAAGTCAAGCCTTGGTGCCTTGGCCCGAGTACAGGGGAGTGAAGGGGGGAGGCCCAGGTCTGTGAATCTAAGGGAGAACTGGAGGGAGAGAGCTAAGCAACAGGGAGCAGATACTGGTTTTCCCTAAGGCATCAAGCTGTTTCATTCCAAACCAGTCCCTGCCCTCCTAAATATGAAAAAGGAGGGGCAGAGCAGAGAGCGTGTTGCTGGTGGTGAAGGTGAGGGAGTGTGGGCGGAGGAATGAGAACAGTCCTGAAGCGGACAGGCCCATGGCATGGGGCACTCACCCTAGAACACCCCTGGATCTTGCTTCCGCTAGTGTGCCCAGGCAATGGGGACATGTGAGCCGTGGGACAACCAGGTCACATCTACACCAGCAGTACAGGAAATTCAGCCGTCTCTGTCGCCTGATGAGGCGTGCGTAGCGTCTCAGGAGCCTCAACCTGAAAGTTGTCTTCAAAAGAGCTTCTGTGGTCTGTGTTGGCTTGGGAATTCTAATCAACAATTCTGAGCAGAGGGCAGCCTGCCAGCATCCTGCGGGAGGAGAGATCCCACTGTCTGCCCGGGAGCCCCGGGGAAGACTGGACATAGACCGCTTCTTTCCAGGGACACAAGCACCAATCACAAACATCCAAAAACGACTTGGCTACACTTCAAAAACTCACTGTTTCATAACATCAGGTGCTTTTGTGTCGGTCACTCCAGCCACCCATCCCCATCGGCCTCCCATCCCCATCCCCACCCCCAGCGCGCACACACACACACACACACACACACACACACACACACTGCAACATCACTGGGCCACAAGGACATGTAGCACAGAGAGCTAGACTGTATTTCCAGCATCACAGCTTCAAGGTGACCCTTCCAAACCCAGTCCCAATTAAAGCCATATGGCATGGATGGAGTGGACACGCCTGAGTCTAAATGGGACCCCCCGCAGTGGGTGGGAAATGCCCAGAGATGACACAACATCCCAGAAAAAAAAAAGTCAACATCCCAGCTTTACCTTTCCACTAAGCTACTCGAGTGGAGTCTCCGCTGCCAAACCCCATCACTGAGTTGCTTCACTGATGGGAGACAGGGACTCAATGTCTATGTGCAGACAAATCTTCACGGAAATATAGGACTCAAGATATTCTTGCAGCACATGACACCCAAGCCATGTCCTTCTATGCGAAACAGGTTTTTTTCTAAAGCAGGGGAAGAAAACCAGCAATATTCCTCCGTATTTCCTGCAGAACACGCATTGTTCTCTCCCTGTGTTGTGATCCAGATTTAACTGCAGTCACAGCAGCATGTTTCTGTACAGTTGCTTGTATGCTAACTCATTTGTGGTTTTGGCCTTTTTCTAGTTGTAGGAGAAATAAACCTTCAATTTGATCTATTTCAAATCTTAAACACACACACACACACACACACACACACCCCTTCTTCCAAAAGCAGGCTAGCTGTAAAAGGCCAGGTGCCGAGAGCAGCAGGAGTCTGCTGTTGGGAGAGCGAGTCTCTTTGCTTTGAAAGTCAAGGGCCCGGCTTTCAAAGCACCGGAGGAAAATCATCCTTCAGAATCACCCACCCCAGGGGCAGCCAGGAACGAGGCCCGAAGACACAATGGGTGGAGAGGCTCCAGCTGGGCTATTCAGAGTGGGCAGGCAGCTAGCACAGCCCAAGGCCAGGGCCCGGGACCCACCACGCTGTATTCCTTGTCCAGTGAGCTTCTGCAAATGAGTGTCTGCGGAAAAGGCGGTCACGTACAAAG